TACATACGTGCAGTGGATGAACCGGGCACGAGACCACTCACCGCACCCACACTCGAAACACTCTGGTTTAATCATGGACAGGGGCTTAACGCGCGGATTAAGATCCAGGCTCTCAACGGGACCCACCCGGCTCATCGACCACTGCCCTCTTGAGCCACCAGGCGACCCCTTCCTGCCGTCTCTTCTACTCGCTCGCACTCTCAACTCCACGGGGCAAATCGGAGGCCCTGGCAGGCGACAACGCGAAGCTTGCGGAGTCCTGGTCAGGTGGCCCAGGCACGAAACAACCTCGATTCTCCCTGGAGATATAGGGGACCGTTTGCTGCTACTGCTGCTGCTGCCAGTTTCAAAATAATGTAAATGCTTCTTCTTGGTTCTTTCGGTAAAGTCACGTAGAAGGGAAGTAATCAAATAATAAAAATAAAACATAATAAAATAATTATCACGACGTTTCGGCCACAACGCAAGCAGCCGTCCTCAGGTGAAGAATGAAACACCACCAAGCTTGAGAATTATTTTATTATGTTTTATTTTTATTATTTTATTACTTCCCTTCTACGTGACTTTACCGAAAGAACCAAGAAGATGAATACCTGCAGTCACGAAAGCTTTAAATCGAAATGTAAATGCTGCTTGCGTTGTGGCCGAAACGTCGTGAGAATTATTGTATTATGTTTCATTATTTATTATTTTATTACTTCCCTTCTACGTGACGTTACCGAAAGAACCAAGAAGATAATGTAAACGCAAATCACCTGCTTCACCCTTTTAGGGCACTAACACGACAGGTGTTAAGATGTCCAAACACCAAATAGACGCACGTCTATTATTGGAAGGCATCAAAGTCGCATCAATGCTCGTGGTAAAAAAAAACGCAAGCAGCACGCGCCATGAATTCAGACTTTAATGCCTTTTGCAATGTCGATATCGATGACTCTACCCCAGTGCCTTCTCATGTAATTCCCTTCCTCCGTCACCCGCACGGAGCTCGCTCAGTGATCCCTGATTTAAGAGCACCCTATGCCTCTCACTCATGTATTATCTCTATCTTATCTTCCTATATAATCGTCTTATCCATTTTCTTTAATTTCATAATACGCGAAGACAAGTATATTCCTATTTAAAGCTTTCGTGACTGCAGGGATTCATCTTCTTGGTTCTTTCGGTAAAGTCACGTAGAAGGGAAATAATAAAATAGTAGAAATAAAACATAATAAAAACAATTCTCACGACGTTTCGGCCACAACGCAAGCAGCCGTCCTCAGGTGAAGAACAGGTCTGTCGGAAAGACTTTACCGAAAGAACCAAGCAGAAGTATCTTCCTATAACGTTCTGCCCCTCCGATTGGCTGCTCGGCCGCGGTGACGTCATTGATTGCCACCAATCGGCGTGCGCGACGAGGGCTCATTAACATAATTTCATAGTTGGCAATTGTCTTATATTGGCGACTCGCTCAGCGTTACCTCACGTATCAATAACCCGTAAACGTGACGATGCAATCCTCCGATAATAAAATAAAAGCGAGACACCATACCCATGCAGCAATAATAATAATAATGAATATACGGTGCTGCAAAATGCAACATTATTTGCAACTCACCGTAACGACACTTTACGGCCAGTCCCCGTCTAACGAACGGGTTGTGTTCCGGGTGCCCGTTCATTGGTCCATCTCATCCGCCTGCAAGGAGCGGGACACACTCAAGTGCACGAAAGCACCCACTTACGACAACAACCTGCAAACGCCTGCTCACCCTGTCCAAACGAGCCGCCGAACTATTTTGTTTGGCGGAGCGATCCTGCCTTACGTCACAGTTGGGAGGTGTGTATGTTGAGAGTGTGTGTGAACGCACGCGTGTGTGTGTGTCTGTGTGTATGTACGTGGACTCAAATGAGTACCTGGTGCGGTGTGTAAACATCGCCACTGGGGAGACAAAGGCGGTCGGGCGTGGTGCTGGCCACCCACCCCCGTGTACCGTTGCGGCATAGGTTCTCGCTAACAGCACTTGCCCCTACAGTCTGTTAAGGCTCATGGGGATCTTTATCTTTGTAGTGTGTGGAGCGGTAGTGTAGCAGGTAGCGCTACGCTGCGTGACGAACCTGGCGACCCGGTTCGATTCCCGCTCACGGCCAACACCAGTGACGATTATCCTGAACCGGTTTATGGGCCTCCCTTAGGTCGAACTCGGCCCCAAATGAGTACCTGGTGCGGTGTGTAGTAAACATCGCCATTGGGGAGACAAAGGCGCTCGGCCGTGGTGCTGGCCACCCACCCCCTCGTGTGCCGTGTCCGCCTTCGTAGGTGCTAGCTACAGCACTTGCCCCTACAGTCTGTTATGGGCTACACGGGTGCGTCAAAGTTGCTGCAAATGACAATACTAATGAGTACTATGAGATCTCTTTTATCAGTGGCAAAATATAGTAGTAGGGTTTTACCCTTTTAATCTGGTACAAAACTGACACCTTTATTCAAGGCATCAGGTTGCAATAACCACAACACAAGTAGTCAAAAAATCTAACAAAAAGAAACAACTCTGATAATGATAATAATATGCACTGTCCTTGAAGTTGATTGGTCCACACCCGAGACGGCTTTCTTTAGAGCCTAGTCCCCATTAGTGTTGGACCAGATGACACCAGAAGGCGTACAACTCAAACACAGTGCAATATCAGAGTATTGAGAGCTCGGGGTAAAGCATTTACACTATGAGATCTCTTTTACCAGTGGCAAATATAGTAGTAGGTTTTTAAAAGGGTAAAAACCTACTACTAATACTAATTAGTTATTATTGCTATTAATATTGTTATTTTTATTATTATTTTATATATATTTTATTATTATTGATATTATTATTGTTATTAATATATTATTCATATTATCATTGAAATTATTGTTATTATTATTTCTATTATAATTTATATTATTATTTATATTATTGTGATTATCATTGTTATTATTATTGTTATTCCCGCTCCTGCAGGCGGACTCTCCGCGTCGTCTCGCGGTCCGTTGCGTGGCTTGAAAGTCCCCAACACCACCACTACTACCACCACCACCACTACCACCACCACCACTACCACCACTACCACTACCAACACCACCACTACTTACCACCACCACCACTCCCAATACCACACTACCCATACCACCTCCACCACTACCACCACCACCACCATCACCCCCAACCCACCCCACCCTCACCACTACCACTACCACCACCCACCACTACCACCTACCACCACTACCACCACCACCACTCCCGACCACACCCCACCCACCCCCTACCCACACCCACCACTACCCCCCACCCACTACCACCACCACCACTACCACCACCACCATCACCCACCACCACCACCACCACCCCCACCACGAACACCCACTACTACACCACCCCCACCCACCACCACTACCAACACCCACTACCACCACTACCACCACCTACCCCTACCACCACCACCATCCACCCCCCACCTCAACCACTACCACTACCACCCCACTACACCACCCACACCACCACCACTACCACCACCCACCACACACCTACCACCAGCCACACCACTACCACCACCACTACCACCACTGACCACCACTATCACTAAACACCACCCCCACCACCATCACCCACCACCACCACGTACCACCACCATCCACTACCACCACCCACCACTACCACCACTACACCACCACCCCACTACCACCACCACCACCATCCACCACCATCACCCCACCACCACCACCACCCCCCCAACCATGCCACCACTTACTACCACCACCACCACCACTACCACCACCACTACCACCACTACCACCACCACCACTACCACCCACCACCATCACCCCACCACCTCAACCACTACCACTCCACCACACTACCACCACCACATACCGACCACCACCACACCCACTTACCACCACCCACTACCACTACACCACTACCATCCACCCCCCACCAACACTACCACCACCACACTACCACCACTCCACCACCACCACCACCATCACCCCACCACCACCACCTACCACCACCCC